TTTCCATGAACGTTGGTTGGCTATGTGCCTCAGAAAAATGCCCCCAAGTCTGATCTCATGGTCTCCAGTCTTTGATAGCTAGACAAGCTCAATAGGACAACAGGTGACAGGGACTGAGCTCCAGGCAGGCGGGCAGGCTCTGAGGCCCCCATCACTCTGATGGTTTAGTGTTCCCATCACCCTATTATCATTCCACATCAGACAACAATTCTGCTGGAAAATTGAGTATTATGGTTTTTATTTGCTTTGCTGGTTTTTCACTTTTATAGCACTGTTTCACATCAATGCAGAGTTTTATAGAGACACATATTGCATGTAGTTATGTTTCAAAGTTTAGTGCCAGACTGAAAGACTAAGGTGGCTACAGAAGGTCCAACAGTAGCAGAAGGAGCAATCTGTAGACAGAGTTCCTGTCATTCAAAACGTATGTGTTCAGGTACAGGTTCAAACAGACAACACAACTGGTACTTGCTGAGCTCGCACTGGGCACTTGGAACTTGAACTACTTTCTAACCATTCATAACTAGTACAGACCTGTAGGAATGGGCTCAAGTGATTGACTGTGGATGCTGCTGTGTAAGTCTCTAGCATTCTGCTTTTTTCCCCCCTATAAAGTGGCAATAATGCCATCCCTACCTCCTAAACTAGAGAACAAGTGAGGGAATATGTGTAAAGCCTAACCTGTACCATGTATGCCAGACACACTTGTGATGAAGGCTGAATTGGGCTCTGATCCTAACTCATAGAATGAAGCCTTAACCCTGGAAACCTCAGAATGCAACAAACAGGAATTGGATATCAGCGATCTAAAGAAGTGAACTAGCTCAAATAAGGTCACCACAATGGAACCTTAACCCAGTGTGACATCCTTACGACAAGGGTACAGTTGCACAGAGCAATGATGCCATGAAGAGGGCAGCCACCTGCTGGTCAAGGAGAAAAAACCTCAAGGCAATGAATCAGACCAGCACCTTGATCTTGGATGTTCTACGTCAAGAGTGTGAGAAGATAATTTGTGCTTCAGTCACCCAGCATGTGGTATTTCATTGCCACAGCTCCAGCACACTAACACAGCAACTGTGATTAGTTTTCTCTGCACATGGCCAATCTGAGATGACAAAAGCTGAGGCTACTTGCCCATCATCATCAGAAAGCAGAACTTAGATTTCAGTCCCAATGTTGGCTCTAACCTTGGGTTGCATCAAACAAACATCAGAATGCAGCTTCATGGAAGCAGCTTCCAGTTTGAGGGGACGGAGGGGATGTTGATCAGGTAACCACAGAACCTGCGATAGAATGGAAATCACTAAAAGGAAAGATAAGGTACAAACCAGCAGCAAGGATAGTTCAGAGGAAGTTTCATCTACCAGAAACAGGTTTTCTGGAACCTTCAGTCTAACAGTCTTGAACTCACGGCAAGAGAAGCTGTTTCACCAAGATAACACCCAATCCTATGACTTGCAGCTTAATTGGTTGGCCACACTTCATATTGATTTCAGCTGTCTGGGAATTATCTTCCAAGTCTCATGTAACTCCACTGCCCCATGTGAGCAACAGTAGGCTTAACCCCACTGGCATTTTTTTTTCTTTCTTATTTTTTGTCAAAGTTGTCAGATACCTCATGGAACTTAACAGTGACTAACCAGCCCCCAGAGAGTGGCTGGCACAACTGCTGCCATAGCTATGGGTTTGAAGCCAACACCCAACACTGAATAGGAGCTTTGACCTAAAACCAGGATAGGACAGGCCAGCAGGACCCCAGCGATCTGCTCATCCTCACACGACAAAGTCAAACTCAGGCTCAAAAACCAGTTGTGCCCCTTTGCCCCTCCAAAGAGCTCTCTAATCCAGTGGAATGTAGAGGGTTTTAAACCCTGTTTTCTTCCTTGCCTTCTTGCTCCTTCGAAGGAATTTCTGGCAACATTACTGCTTTGAATTTAGATTGCCAGAAATCTTTCCCTGCCTCTTCCATGTGTAGGTGAAAGTAAAAGCTGGAAGGGGAGGTCAGAAGAGGAAATGAATAGGCTAAGGACCAAGTAACAAACCGCATTCCCTCTTGTGGATGGAGAGCTAGAGACAGATCGGAAAATCAGGTGGTTTAAGTAACATGCCTAGGGTCACACAGCTTGTACTGGGTTGGGGCAAAGCTTGGGGGGCAGGGCTGGTCTCCTTCCTCTAAGTGCAGTGCTCAGCCTACCCTCATCTGTCTTAGAGCCTAAGCTCGTTCCTAGGTGCTGAAATACTTGCTGTTCCACAAAGCTTTATTCCAGGTACCTACCATGTGCTGTGTTCAATGTTTAATCTTCCACACTGATTTCCATGGACCCTCACTAAGACACAGAGGTAGGTTTTCTTAGTGTCTGAATTACTCTTATAGACACTGAGACCTAGATAGGTTCAGAAATTTACATTCTGCTTCACAGTATATAACTGGCAGCCCTTTAACTTATCACCTCTTTCTATCCCCAGAAGCCTAGTCACTCTAACTTGGCAACATTAGCATGGACCTCAGACTGCAAGGAGACAGAACAGAGGCCTTGCAAGGCCCTTCCAGACTAGGACACTACTTGGCACTAGGTGACTACAACTTATGTCTAAGTATTTGAGGACAGGACAGAGCAGACAGGCCACTGCTACACACATGAATCCAGAGCTGGACCTGGGCGAGCATGGGGACCCAGCATGTAACATGCAAGAGCCCAGGAAAAATACTTAGGTCAATGACAGCCAACTTCTGATGCTTACTGAGGTGATTAGCATCCCAGAGGGCTAGAACGAAAGTGGAGCCACTAGGGCTCAAACTGGCACCCAAATGGAACACCAGTATCACAGGTAGCAGATATACCCAGCAAGTCACATCACTGGTCATTAGTTTTTTCATTTTGAAAATGAGAAAATTCACTGAGTCTCAGGCAGGGAGCTCACAGCACAGATAAGCACAGATTTCAAAGTCAGGTACCCAGATCTGAACATGAATCCTTCCACTAAGTAGTCACATGGTACTGGGTAAGACTTTTATGTCTTGGGCCTCAGCCTCACACCCAGAGGACAGCATTAACCATGATGCCCACCCCACAGCATTCTTTGGAGAATCAACTGAGTTAATAGATGTAAGTTGTTCAAAATAGCATCCATCATGCAACAAGTTTTCCAGCATTATTATTTTCAAGTGTTACCTTTGTAAGGGCCCAAATCCCTCATTGGAAATAAAAGGTATTGCACAGAATAGATGCTTTAAAAGCCTAGATGCCTATTGTTCAGGCATGTAGCAGTCCCTTCCCTGTCTTCTGCCAACAGAATTACTTTTCTGAGGGAAAACACATAGCCTTCATATTCTCACCCCAAAACAAGCAGGATGCCACACGGCTCAGACTTAATCATTGTCAATACCCTCTTTAGCAAACCTAATCGGTAGTAACAATGCATTTGAGCATGGGCATGAGACCAAGCAAAGGAGTCAGAATACACACACAGTTCCTCTGTCCAGGACAGTCACTGTCCTCCAGGATCTAGACTGAATGCACTGTGAGTCTTCCACTTTGCCATCAGACTCACTGTTCCATGGAATGGAGGGAGCAAAATGAGGTCTTCTGACATCACTGAGCCCCAGATACAGTTGTTCTTGAAGCCATAACTACCACAGGACTTTTTAGTTCCTTGAATGGATACACAAGTATCTCTTCTTTGAGCTAAAAGAATTTTAACCACTTTTTTTTTTCACATGCTACTTAGTAGTATTACTATCATAAAATTGGTTTGCATTAAATGTTATTCTCTTTTGCATCACTAATATAAACGTGCCTTAGTACTTGTTAATTGCCTCTGCAAAAGGTACTCTTCACATAAACACTGACAATTAAGTAGTTTTCGTCTACTGGTCTAATAATGAAAGAAAATCCATGTCTAGAATTCCCTTCTACCTGTGCAGTTTCTGATGGAGCAGCTGGCTACACAGAATCCCCATTTAGAACTCCCTTTTAGAAACAGCTCACTTTGTCTATCGAGATGCTGTGCTCTTTTAAAGCAGAGCCAGTGGCATATGTACACACACTCATGATTGCACATTTATTGATTTCTAATTTGTACCCTGCTTACTTCCAGAAAAGCCCTGGAGAGGCTGACAAAATAAGACAAAGACATAATAGGGCCATTAAGAAAACATCAAAGATCAAGCCCAAAGAGAAAAAGAGGCTACCAATTATATCCCAAACCTGGGTTAATATAGTTGCTTCAATAAAAAAGAATTATATTTAGCTCTCAGCTTTCTTGGCAGCCATTCACAGCATATCATGATAGGGTACATGGGAATCTGGGCATGCTCAGGGCTAAAGTTCCATCCCAGCACAGGAACCTGGCTGAAACACGCCCCTCTCCCCACTCACCCCACAACCAGCAGAGAACCGAATGAATAAGTCAATAAATGCATAAATGGTAGGTGAAGGGATCCAAGCTCCTTAAAAACACTGCTTCTATCCTTAGGTCTACATCATTTACTTTTTCTTTTTTTTAATTTATTTTTTTTTTCCAGTTACCTTGGAGTTTATTTAAACTAAGAGGAAGAGATGATAATGTTTTCATGCAATATACACTTGACTCTTTAAATAACAATTGTGACAAAGAACAGAAAGAACTGAGCGATGCTGCACTTGTGATCCCCACCAACACTCCCGCCCGGACGGGTGGGCCATCCTGCTGGAGCCCCCAAGCACTGCTGGGCATGCTGCCACAGCGGCCAAGGCGAAGAGCATACCTCGGGTGGGTACAGGAATGCAGACCACAACACAAGAAAATCACACAGGAACTACTCGATTTCTTTAAAATCACTGAGCAAGAAAAGCAACACTGAACTTCCAGGTGATCTTACACAGCTCTATCCAGTACCTTGACTCAGATCCAAGAGTGGCACAAAAGACTCCCCTCTGTTTTTGGTAAACAAATGCATGGTAAACTTGGATGACTTTCCCCCCTGGATTTTACCTGGGAGCAGTCTTTTAATTTTTTTATTTAAAAGAGGGCAGGTTTGGCACTTTTATACTGATGTTGCCATTGTTAATATTTCTCAGGATCTCAGGAAGATTCATATTCTTCACAGCTGATACGGCACGGGCCGGGGCACCCGCCAAGCCAGCCTCGGATTTCTCCAGTTTATTCTGTGCATCAATTTGTGTAACAATCTCATTCATGTTGGTCTCTAACACCATTCCCCCCATCACCATTTCTGCAAGAATATTGTGAACCTTGTCTACATGGAAAATCAAACCCAGCTCACAGACATTTTCAAAACACTTGTCTAATGTTTCCATGAATACTTGAATTAGATCTAAAATGCCAAGTTCACTTTCTGAAGAATCCACACAGAAGACAAAATACAATGTTGCATAATGTCTATATATCGGTTTGTTGTAAGATCCTCCAATTAATAATCCTCCTTCTAGGAGATTATAAACATTTTCATCTCTCTTAGATACCAAATGGAAAGTCTCCCTGATGATTTGCTGTTGTGTGTCTTCACTGTAGGGCTGGTGGAACTTGGAGAGGCGCAGCTTGCCGTGGTTGTTGAAGATGAGGATCGCCTTGATCATGGCCTGGCCGGGCCGGGGCCGGGTCGACCCGGGACCTGGCCGACACAGTGGGCACTGGAGGCCGGGGCGGGGGCGGGCATGCGAGCTGCGCCTCAGGACTACACCGGAGAACCTTCCCCACCCGCCCTCTGCTGCACACGCCTCACTTTTTCATCTACCCCTTCAGCCATCACTGATTGAGTACTGATGCGTGCCATTCTCTGTGTCTAGCCAGGGATGCAGAGAGGGACAAATACCAAAATGAGTTGAATATTGTCCTGGGCTTTCCAGCTAGGACTTTCTGGCTGGAAGCAAAAACTCAAGGTAATTTACCTAGTGTTCACTGCAATTCCTAGTCTCTTTGGAAAAGCAGGTTGTGAGGATGGGAACTGTAGGAGTCACCAGAGTTACCTTAGCACATGCACTTGAACAGTCCCATTGGCACGCCCATACCTCACTGGATGCTCAGAGCACATTTGTGGGGCAGGCAGGAGGTACCTCCGTGCACTAACGAGAATGTTCAGGCACAGGAGCGACAGTGAGTCCCCCAAGCCCTCCAAGTCAGAAGGAAGCAGTTAGGACAGCACCTCAGCACCGCAGAGACCTGGTAGGAGCATCCCTGTCTGGAATTCCTCCTGTGCCTAGACAACGATCAGCCCTGAGCAACATGGGCATCACCTAATTGCATATAGAGGCTTCAGTGAGAAAAAACCAATCCACTTTACAACCTGCCTCCATGAGAATACTCAGACAACACCCACTCAATGTTTTCCAGTAGCCCCAGTCTCCTTCCCCCAAAATGGCACCTGGAAAGTGAAGCTGAGATCTAAGAGCATACAGAAGTCTGCAGCTGGTGAAACAGGTATGAGGTAGTTCTGGATGGAGAAATGATGGCCATCTGGGCGTTTGTGAGAAGAACATTACAGGGAAGGGGGAATAAGAAACCAGGGCTGTTTCTGATGTGCCCACTTGGCTTTGCTAATTCAGCCCTGCTAGACACTTGGTTGCTGGACACCAAAATACTTCCTCCAGTCTTGTGCCCATTCAGGTGGAGTCAAACTGGAGAAAGAAAAGCAGGTGAAGTGCTTACCAAAGTCTGCTAGGTGAACTGAGCCAGAGAAATAGTGTGCATAGCATGAGGAGACCTTAACAAAGCACAGGTGTGTCCTAGAAAAGCCAAGAAGACAACTGCTCCCTGGTGCATCAGCCAACTCCCACCTGTTCTTGCTTCAATAAAGTGCCCTTTGAAAAATACATTAACACATACAGTTTGTGTGTGCATATGTGTGTGTCTGACATATATAAATATATAAATATATGTATATATATATATATATTCCGAATCCAGAGCTCATTCTTAAGTGCACACACCGACATCTGTTTCACATTTTCCAGTTTATCCCAGAGCCTATATGCATTCTTTGATTGCATAAGTAGGCATTAAACACAGTAACGGGGAATGAGAATGGTGGCCACAAGGTTGGAGCCTTCCCAGTAACGCTGGGGTCCTCCCACTCAGGCTGTAAATCTCTGTGTCACTCCATTCAGAAAGTTGAGCCTTGGGCCACCCAATTCACCCCACGATCTACACTCATCACCAATAGCAGGATTTTGATGTCATGGTCACAGGGCCATTCATTGCCAATTATTATCACTTGTGTCATACCCACAATGAGTGGATCACAGTCTCTATATATCCAACTCATGAGTTTCCAAACACTCACATGAAATCGACACACAGAAAGATGGCAATCCTTTACTCTAGTTATATCCTGGACCATTCTGAAAAACACAGTGAAATTCAATGTGTTTCTGTCTTTTTCACCAAAGCATAGCCTTCCAGATCCACATTCCTAGACCAGCAGTGGTAGGAAGCAGAAGGCAAAGGTGAGGAGCTATGCCAGCCAGCAACATGGGAAGCTTGAAATGTTCAGGAAAAACCACTGCCCACTTGAACCACCAGCAGCCTGCTATAAAACGCTCACCTCAACATCCCACCCGTTGGAGAACTGTCCTGAAGTAACTTCAGACCAAAGCTCAGCAGGAGAGTTTCCCTTTCCTTGCAAACAAATGAACCACTGATGCAAGGCACATCCACTTCAACCACCAACCTCCGAAGACGTCAGGCCTACGGGTGTCAGGGGTGAACACCAGATGCAGGCTTCCCCCAAGTCTCCACGGTCAGTACTCCCCACACGCAAGCAAACACATCCTCCACAAGGCACAAGGCAGAGAAGTACATCAACTGTACTCACAGTCTGGTGAGCTTCGGATTGCTCTGGAAAAGCAATTCTGGGAGGACTTGGAGCTTATTCTTGTTCAGACGCCTAGAGAAGAGAGGAAGGGGAAAGGATGTCAAAGAGATGTTAAATCAAAACAAATGGATTCAGTCCCTGCTTCCATCAATCAGTCAACAGGTATTAAGATGCTCTCTAGATCTTTCAATAAGGGATGTTCAGCATATGTAAAGCATCTTCCATCCTGGTGGGGTTTGTAGTTAAGTTGGGGGTGTCAGGAAAACACAGTGGTACACTATGCAGTCATGCGTCCAGCATGGATCCAGGACAGACATCACTAATCAACTGCAGCCTTTTTTCTGCACACGGCTCCAGACAAAACTTTTGAACCACTCTCAATAATGAGCTCCAGGTAACTGTTATCAAGCAATAGAACTGACCTATAAAATATACTCCTACAAGTGTAACTAAAATAGCAGGGAAATTATTCTAGATCATAAGTGATGGTGGTGGGAGTAGAGAGAAGTTGCCATAGGAACAGAGGAGAGGGCAAGGCAGATCAGCACAAACACAATCCCTGTCATCTCGGATCTCAAGACCAGAGCAAGGCTGCATTACGCCTTCCACAAGCTCATGATCTGTTTACCTTTTTGAACTACCTTCCCTACAAAAATGGTTTTAGCACTACATTTTAAGCATTCAAAATGTACTTATTTTTAAAATTTATTGTTATTGGGGAGAAGGAGATTTACAGTCAGAAGGGGAGACAGACAGAAAGATCTTTTATTTACTGGCTCACTGCCCCAACGGTTGCAATCACTGATTTTGAGCTGACCTAAAGCCAGGAGTCAAGAGTTTCTCCGGAATTTCCCTTTCCCATTCAGGTGTAGTGACCCAAGGACTTGACCTATCTTCTGCTGCTTTCCCAGGCCATAAGCAAGGAGCTGGATCAGAAATTAAGCAGCCAGGACATGAACGGGTGCCCAAATGAGATACTGGCACTAGAAGGTGGAGGATTGGCCTGTTAAGCCACCATGCTATCCAAAAAAAAAAAAAAAACAAACTATTTATTTACTTATCAGAGAGAGAGTGAGAGACAGGGAGAAAGTCTTCCATTGACTTGTTTATTTCTCAAATGCCTCCAATAGCCAGAGCTGTTTCAGGCTAATGTTAGAAGCCAGGAATTCAATCAACATGTTCCATGTGGGTGGTTGGGATCTCACATATTTGAACCAACACCTGATGCCTATAAGGATAAGCATTAGCAGGAAACTGGACTGGAAGCAAACGCAGGCAACTCTAATGTGGTATGTGGGCACACCAAGTGGCATTTAATAGTGTATCACATGCACTCCCTAAATATTATACTTTACAAGTGAGCTGAAACTAAAATATATATATTATTGTTACATACTCATTTCAAACCAAAAACTCTTCTCAGTCTTCTAAATTTTAAAAGTAAACATTTTCACAGGCTTCTAACAGTATGGTGGGACTCAGTATGGGTCCGACTGTGCCAAAAGGCGAAGTTGGCCCTGGTCAGGAACCAAGGTTTGGGCATGAAGTGTGGCCTTGAGGCTAGACCCAGCCCACTAGGAATGGCACACATTGGATAGTGGTCAGCATGGTCAATCCAAGCTCTGCTGGGTTTGGTCAATGCTAGAGTCCTCAGGCAAGTGTCCAGCTGTGCTTAGATTAGAAGTCTAGTACCCATGAAGTCACCTTTCTTGAAAATGCTAGGCCGAGACTAAGACATTGCTCCATGTCGGTTTCACGGCCCTCAGCCTCAGCATAATCGGTGAAAAGAGATTCTCTCTTCTCACATGAACCCTTAAACCACTTGCCACGGTTTCAGCAAGATTTGGCTCCCCAACGAGTTCATATGCTTAAACCCCAAAGCAGTAAGTCAGTTCCATGAAGAGGGTGAGGGTTTGATCTGATTATGGTGTCTGAGGGTGGAGTTTGGAAAACGCTTGAATTGGATCCAGCTGCTAGGGTGGGGACTGTGTGACTGAATCCCAGAGGCTCCACAAGGAGACACCACACATAGATAGAGGACAGATACACTCCTTGCTTCCCAGCTCACCATGGGACCCTTCCAGGGACTAACCTCTAAAACTCTGAACCCACATGAGCCTCCTTCCTTCACACATAACCTGTGCTGTATATTTGTTAGAGTGACAACAAGCTGCTTAATCTTTAGTTTCCAGAATAGTTTAGATCCAAAGAGCACTTTTTAGCTTGAATGATTCTTTTTTTTCCAGCTAAAAGAAAAAGAGTATGTCTGATTAAAAGGGACCATTCTACCATACCTATTTTGAAATTAAGTAAATTTAGATAAGCTTCTCCCCCAGTTCTGGCCTGAATTCTGTATTGCCCTCTGAACACACAGACACACACACACACACACACCACACATACCACACATATACACATCAAGTATACAACATTCCTAAGTGGGATTTTGTTTGTATTTCCCTCCTAGGTCAAGAGAGATAAAACAGATCTATCTGGGATCAGATGAAAGTCCTGGAGGGCACAGCCTCTAAGGGAGGGCCATCTAAGACCTTCTGTAATAGTCCCATTTCCAAACATACCCTCGGCTCTTTGGAGACCATGCAATGTATGGCAGGAGTCACTGTGGCAGGAGTGTGCTATTGAGTAGACTCCAGATTGGAAAGAGGCCAAAGAGGAAAATGGCTGGGAAGTTGGACAAGATGGGCTCTCATTCCCTGCTATCTCCGTCAGCAGTCTGACTCTAGTTTTATATTTTTTTAAATTATGGTTAAATTAAAAATAAATACATTTTAAACATTTACCAAATTCAAAAATAAAAATAATTATGGTTAAAAACACATACACAATTTCACACCTTAACAAATTTCCAATCATTTCATTGAAATACAGTCCTTGGCACTCACTCTTCACCCTATACCTGTACCAACTCAAATAGGACTTTTTTTTTAAATTATTATTTATGGCATCCAATGTATTCCTGTTACTAAAGTGGGGGGGAGGGAATAGGGAGTCTGTGCCAGTGCTGTGACATAGTAACCTAAGCCTTTGCCTGTGACACTAGTATCACATGTGGCCACCAGATTGTGTCCCAGCTGCTCTACTCCCAATTCAGCTCCCTGCGAATGGCCTGGGTAAAGCGATGGAGAATGACCCAAGAGTTTGGACCCCTGAACTCATGTGGGAGACTCAGAAAAGCTTCTGACTCCTGACTTAGGAACAGTTCAGCTCCAGCCTTTGGGGTCATCAGAGGAGTGACCAGTGGATGGAACTCCTCTGTGTCTTTCCCTCTGTCTGTAACACTGCCTTTCAAATAAAAGTAAGCTTTAGAAAAAGTATGGGGCTTAGGGAAGTGAGGACAAGGTGGGATCTTGCTTTTTCTTTAGGGTAGTAGTTCCCATCCAGTCAGTGAAAAACCCCTTTAGAGCAAGTGAAAGTCAATGGTGCTGTGGAAGATACCATGTTATGAATATGGGGTGTTCCAGGGCTTCCTCAAGTCTGGCTGTAGCATATGTCACTATTAGAACCCAGTGCAAGCTATCAAATCATTGGAGTTCAGGTTTCATCAGCAAAATCATTCAACTATTCTGGGTTATCATGAGTCTTCAATGAACCACAAATGGGCAAATGCAGTTAAGAACCCAGTAGCCATTATAAACACAATGCTGACTGACCCCTGCCCACATGTTAGATTCTGTGCTGCACGCTGCAGGGAGAGGAGCCCAACCTCACTGGTGTATGAGCAGGTGTTACTACTGACTCTTTCAGCAGATGAGAAATCAAAGGCTGGGACAATAAGCACATTCCCAGTACTGCAGAGTTAGGAAAGGGAAGCAGCAAGGTTTAATCCCAGCCAGTCTGAGCCTGGAGCCCTGGAGGCCATGTGACTTGAAGCCTTTCTACAAATGATAGCTTCCTTCCCTCTTTCTTCCTTTTCCTCTCTCTCTTTTTTTTTTTTCACCCTGGGTTGTCACTGCCTCCACCCTAACCTAGACAGAGATCCACCCTGGAGTAGAATGCCGTCCCTGAAAAGAACTCCCATGGAGATCTCCAGACCAGAACTGGGTCTCTATATAGATCTGTAGGGATCCACCCTCCATTGTCACAGTTGTAGAAAGTCTGGGAAGAGTTACATTCCGAAGATCAATATGCAGTCTAGGCAAAAATCCGAAAACCCGACCCACCACTGCCTACAGTAGGTATGGTGTTGAGTGCATGAAAAACCCTAAACCAGAACTGAAGCTAAAAATAAAAACAGCTTGGCTCTGAGGCTCCCGGAAGGGAAGGAATCATTTGCAGTTCTTTGCCAGTATTTGTGGCTGGACAAAAATAAAGATGCAACCAAATTTAGCCAATTGTGCACTACCGGGTGCTTTATAAACTCTGAATAAGGACTCTGGGGCAGCAGGGCTAGGCTCTGTCCCCAGGCCTTGGGGCCTTTCCGCTTTGGTTAGGATGGGTGACACACCAATTCTTGACATCAGAAAGAGCTTGATGCTACATTTCCCTTTCATTCCAGGATTTAGTCATGTTTACTTAGTTAATAGGTCAGCTGAAAGATCTTTGAAAAACCAGCAAAGACTCCATGTTGCATAAGTTACATTCCCTAAAGGGCTGCTGAACAGGATAATGGCACGGCTCTAATGGAGAAGCAGTTAAGTGCCGGACTGCCAACAGTGCTGCTGGTCATGGTGCGCTCATGCCATCTGCTGCTCTGTTACTCAGGGACCAGAGGTGGAAATCTTGGAGTGCAGGACATACTGGAAGGAAAACTATGACTCCTGGATGTAGTGCAGGACTGAAGGCATGCCAAGCAGAGCTGATTTGATTAGGTCGGTAAACAAGATGTGGGATGAGTCAAAGATGGCATACATAGCCCATGCCTGGGTCTCTGCTCCCTTGAAGATCAAAGCTGCTTCTCAGCCTTTACGATGCAAAAATCAGGAGTATCAAGGTCAAAATCCCATCCAGCTGCTGAGTTGCAAGGTCATGGCACTTTCCAGGCTAAACTGTGAAATTCCAAGTATCAGAGTCCTGTGTCTGTGGACCCATGAAAGGTCATTCTGGATATGTGG